ATCCACTCCACCACCTCCTAGTGCATGTTGTGGCTGAATAACACGGCCAGCACCACATAAAAAGGACAAGTGTGCCCTGCCTGGAGAGGATGGACCATGTCCACAACCACCACTTTTGCCTGTGGACACAGAGGCTTCTTGCCCTCTTATAGCTGCATGGGAGCCTCTGCCTCTCCTTGTTGGCCTTTCAGACATGATGCAGGGCTTATTATAACATTTTCTTACAGAATGTGGGATGGGAAATTAGTGCTTGGGTGCAATACTTTATCAGAGTAGTGTATATAGCACTAAAATGCTGAATAAAGCACTGATGCCAGTTATAGCTTACATTACACCTAACTCCAGCAACACACACTACATAAGGTTGCGGTGTAAGCAGCCTTATTATAGTGTGGGGCTGGGACTTAGCTATGAGCCATGTTTGGACAAAGTCATCATTACTTTCCCCAATCATGGCTCTCACAGTGCACTGTGCTGTGATTGGGTAAAGTCTTGCAGCTGACCTGTAGTCAAGTGTATTGCTTTACCCAATCAAGGCTCTCACAATGCACTGTTCGGGGTGCAGTGCATTGTGGGCGCTCGGCAGGCGAATAGCCAGACGAATGCCCTGATAGTTCGTGTGTACGGCGAATATAAGAACTAGCAATGTTCAAGTCAAACAGTTCTTCGACTCGAACATTGAACCCATCCCTACCTGTAATGTACAAGCCCCTGTGGCTGGAAGAACTAGAAACATCAGTGACACCAAACGTACAAATGTCACAAGTCTCTGAATAAAGCCAGTAGTAAGACACAGAGTAGGAAAAAAAATACATTCACACTGTGCCCTGCTAATGACGGTCTTTTCTGAGATTTCAGCCTCAGACAGATTCAAACACATATAGGGAAGGATCCCCAACACGGCATTATCCTGTCACATCCACTTATGAAGGCAAGTCTCAGAGACACGGTCAGGTGAAACTGCATTAGGTCTGGACCGACAATTCCATAAGGACCCCTTAGACATACTGATCTGAACTGGACCACAAACACTAGTCACCGCTGACTGCAGGTGTGACACAGAGGGATCACCAGTATGGTGAACTGGGAACCTGCACTGCTCCTCTAAATGGAGACTTGTCCAGGGTTTCCATATCCGGTCCTGAATTCATCAGTAGCTGTAGATGGCCATAGAAACTTCCAGAAATTTAGGGCCTTCACAGAGAGATTACTGATATAAAAATGGGAAAACATGCGTTTCTTAGCTGAATAAAGAAATCAGGACACTAGCAAAAACTGAGGTAAAATGGTTGTGGGTGGGGTCGTACTGACATTTGTTGTTGCCAGTGTCCATTTGTCCTGTAGGCGGCATTATAACCTGACAGTCTAAGAATCCCTGTGTCCCTCAATAAATGATAAAGAAATATACATTGCTGGCCCATTAGTATATACAGTAGTCTGCTGATCTTAATATTGGCTTCTCCTCACTGCCATTTAAAATATTTTGGGGGTTTTTAATTTATATAGCAATATCAAATTACTATCACTTTACTTGCCTCGTATAAAGTGTTTCTGCGCCAGTCTGTTAGATTTTCTGCCATCTGTATTACAGCATTAAACATTCTTGTTGTTTACATTGAAACAAATTCTGCATCTAAATCTCAGTCGATGCCTCCTTTTGATCCTGTGCCACCAGAGCCCACAAAGCACAAATGAAGCCAGTGGGTTAATAAATTGATTAGCATCTATGAAAAACCTAAAAGAACAGTTTTAGAGGGAGGAATCCTAAAGGGAAGAATCCATGAAAGAAATATGGAGGCTGCCTTTGCTCTCTGTTGTCTGGCTATTATCCTAATCCTTTGACTTCAGTAAGATCATAATGGCAGAAAGACTTTTCTTCTCTCCATGCTTCTTTCAGGTCAGTGACTCTAATGAAGGCAGTTGGTCAGCACAACAGTCAATCATTTTTTACTTAATATCTTTTTATTATTTATACAAAATATTCATACAAAAAATATAACAAGGCATCAACATACACATATCTCGTTTACATACAAATTTAACTTCTCATCGTCACCAAAACCTACAACATCCCACACGATATATTTAATTCTTACATACATATGTTAACATAACCACCCAAATGTCATCACTTTTCATATATATTATATAATGTAGATATATTATAGGTCCCTCCTCCCCTGTTTACACACAAATCTTCAAATGCTGTCATTTCCCACATCACATTTCCCCTTATAGAGAATGACCTAAAAAAATGTTTCAATTGCAAGTATTGCATCCACCTTCCCCCTACTACATCCTCTGTACTTATATCTGATAGAGTTCTCAATCCATCTTTCATTAATGCTGGAATAATTGGGGATGGTTTTCGCGTTGGTCCACTTTAGGAACCCTAATAGTCCCCTTCCTGCGGAGAAATCTGAATTACCTAAAATAGGTGTAAGGGGACCCACATAAGATGACACTTTATAAGCCCTAATTGCCTTATCCCATATTATTAGCAGATCTCTTACTAACGGCAATAAAGTTTTCTTAACCGGACGTCTCTCCGGGTTCACCCATGGGATCAAGAATAAATGTATTGGAGTAGCATCCTGTTCGATAGCCACCCATAATTTTGTATTATTTGGATAAATCCAATCTAACACGCGTCTCAAAACCGCGGCCATTTAGTATAATTCCATGTGTGGGAGACCCACCCCTCCCTCACGCCAATGCATAACCAAAATGTCATACCGCAGGTGGGGAGAGGATCTTTGAATTTCTGCCTATAGGGTTTTTACAGACCGTTCTCTATCCTTCTTTATACGTGCCCCATATGCAATTAGGACCCCTCGCACTACACTCTTAAGTGCTTCCCATTTTATCGGCAATGATGTATTATCATTTAAATGTTCAACAATAACATTTTTAATAGTGCAAACGACTTCAGTCCTCACTATGGGGTCCTGTAATAAGCTCTTGTTCAATCGCCACAAGGATACAGGTTTAACCAATCCCGATAGACATATCGAGAAATACACCGTGGCATAGTCTGACCAAATCTGTGTCCCAATGTGTGCTTGGGGAGACCAACTCAGCATACAATGTGACACCAAAAAATTTATATGTTGAAGAATGACAGGTATAATCTCTAGTAGCCGGGTTTAAAACCCACCAGATGCCTACCAATTGCAAATAATGCAATCTTTTCTTTAATTTATTTATTTGTGATATTGAAATATGTTGATTTCCCCCAACTGTATCAACTGCTGGCTCAAGCGTAAAGTTAAAATCTCCTCCTAATACCATTAGCCCCTCTGCAAATTCTTTGAGGGCCTGTTGACACGACGTCCGTTTTCTGTGCTGACCGTCTCCGTACGCTGCTGCACTCAAAATGCATCCCAATGTATCCCTATGTGTTTTATGGGCTCCAGTTCTCACGTGCGCAGTCCGTTCAGCTTACGACAGAAAAAATACTGCATGTCACATTTTGTCCGGTCCGGAAACGCACGAAACGCAACGAAAACGGAAACGCAACGCAATGCAGCTAAGGGGGAAAAAAAAGAAAAAATTGTATTCTTGCTCCACTTATTATGATGTCATCAACGTTGACAAAAAATTAACTGTCAGCTTCTGGACCGAAAACGCATCAAAAACGCACTGCATCAGCAGCTCCACGTCTGCTGATCAGCACCTGATCTCATGTGAACAGGCCCTAAAACCCCAATCTACGTTTACTTACCCCAGAATAGTTCCCTCCTCCCATCTATGTTAAAGGAAACTTACCCTCCCCATGGTTCACCCCTACTCCCAATACACCAAAGTCCTTTTCCTTATTTATCTCTCTCCATTAATCAAATATTACAACCAAAATGTGAAATAACTAAATTATTTACGAACACTGCAAAATGTTTGCTTATTCCACCCATGTCTAGGCTATTTGGCTTTACCAGACACCAGACATCCCAGGTATTACCTATGCTTAATAATAATCACCAATCTCTTGTAGATACTTAAAAAGAAACAAACAAAAAACATAACAAAATATCTCATATTATTTGTGAATTTTACCTCTATTATTCCCCTCTATAGTTGTTAACCCTCCTTCCCGCCATATTTATATATATATATACACCACATGCATCTATCATTCCTTACTCTCCACCTAAATTAAAATACACAACACCCGTGTTGTACCCAGGACCCCTCCCATATTCAATATAGCATTTATACCCTATGTGTTCTTCATAAGGGTCACCCTATACAGGGCACCCCCACAGCTATGTTGCATATTTTATAACAAGCCATTCTCCCCCCAAAAAAAAAAAAACCTTTTATAACCAAATGCCTAATAATAAGGGTCCAATGCCCGTATTCGATACAAGATCTTTTACAGTACAACATTAATCGTATTTATTTATATGGCATAAGACACTGCATCCTTATTTTGTTCATAGAACCATCTCTAACAATATATAACCTATCTCTGTTTAGTCCTTTCCCAACCAACATCCCTTCCTATTTCTATCATAACAAATGTGCTATTTATATTAACAAACAAAATGCGGGAATGCTTTAAATATTTCTCCTACTTAATGTTTCCATTCCTTGATTCGCTCACGCCATAAATATGCTGTGCCATTTTTGTTTCTACATATGAAGTAACTTTTAAGAAATGTTGACTATTTCATTAGCCAGGGAACATGATGCATATGTTCATTACCATTTCCTTCCCTCCATAACTCCTCTCCTCTGCCCCCTCCTCTCCAGCCCCCCCCATTACTCCCACCTCCCAAATCCTCTATCTTATGTGCCCTTTACTACCCCCTTCCTACTCACCATTAGGATCCCTTCTATCAACTAGGGTCCTCATTATACATGCGTGTCTAATGAAGGCAGTTGGTCAGCACAACAATCAATCAATTAGTACTTTCAGAAGAAGCCAGTGCTTGCCTCATAACAAAATTATAGCTTCTACTCAAAGGTAAGCAGAAAGAAATCAGTTGTAAGTGTAAATATTTATTGAGAACAGAAATATACATCTATACACAGTATAATCAAGAGATTTATTGCACATGTTGTTTTGCAATTAAACAGAGATATTGTCTAGCAATAAAGGATTCTACAAAATGTTGCAGACGCCCTCCACTATTGTCCCAGGAAGGAGGCCATTGGGTCATCCGGCCGTTGGCGTTTCATTCTGAATGCCTCCATCTCTTCTTCTGTAGGTTCCCGTGTCTCATACATACAGTTGTATGCTCTCTTCCTCTCATCCACCTGCATCATTTCCTGTACCTGCTTAAGACGTGCCTCCTCAGCGTTCAAAGCCTGCGTTTAGAAAAGAAGTTAAGGAAATATTGCAATGTTACATAGAATCAATTGAAATGTTCATATAGCTTTGTATATAGTAGCAAAATGTGTGAATCATTGCTAGTACTCCTTGTACAAAATCAGTTTATCTTGTCCCCAGGATCCATGCGATCGCTTCTGGTGCAGCAGGGCTTATACATTGTTAGGGTAGTAAATGTGGTCTCACTGCCAGAAGCCCCTCATTGAAAACTACCAGTGCCAGATTTTCAGCACCAAAAATAAATGTATATCTTACAATATGGGGTCACTGGAGAATCTATTGGCTACGGCAATGGCTACCAGTGGCAAGCACTAGTGGGAGTACATTAACTGCTTGAAGACCAGGTGTTTAGATCCCCTACCTGGCCAGGCCTGGGGCGCACGTCTCGGGGCTTCATACAAGGATTGCTTGTATATTAACGGGCATCGCTGCCTCTTTTCAAATAGCGAGGATTTCCCGCGCGCCGCGCCAGAGCGGGTGGATGTGACAGGACGTGTATACACGCCCAGTTACATCCAAGAAGCTCACGGCAGGCCATGTATACACAGCGGCTGGCCGGGAGGTAGTTAAACCTATAATATATTTCAATAAATAAAGACTAAAGAAGCCCAAATAAGCAGAAATTTCCAGATCACTTAATATCTGTACAGTGGGTATCCTGGCCACCTTCGGATGGAAATAAGGGGAGGACACTGCAGTAACCCACAACTTGCGATTTCCTGCAGCAGGAATCCCTAATCTGACGTTTACAAGCGGCAGCTGTCACTCCTTCAGCTTAATGATCAGGTGACAGTCACTGCATTTGAACGCCATCACACCGAAAGTAAATCATTCCCGGGATGCATCTATTGTGAATCGATGTTCATTACTTGTTCGAAAAGCACATGCTACAACAAATGGCACCCTGCTTATGGAGTCCTATAATGACACAGTATCAAAAGCAAACAGTAACAATGATATACAAAGTACATAAAACAAGATTTCAGGATACTGCAGTCGGCTCAGTTAAAAGGAGAACTATGGGGTCAGGGCGAACCCAAACTGGCGTTCTCCAGTGACCCAAAGCTCAGTATTGCTCGCGGTATACTGAGACGCCGCAGCCGGGACAAGTCCAGACAATACTGTCTGGATCCACCCAGCTGTGGGATTGACAGCTGGCTCTGCCTATCCAGAGGCAGAGGCAGCTGTGCCCACCCCCTCCCCCGTCCGTTTCGCCAGTCAGCGCTGGAGGATCAGACAGGGGAGGGGGGAATCCCTGCAGAGAGCCATGAGTGACAGTCACGGCTCTCTGCAGCGATAGATCGAGAAGTGAGCGAGCGATGGTATGTGTTCGCTCACTTCCCTATCTACTGAGCCGACCTGTGACAGTTTCATTGTCACAAGTCGGTTTAGATTATGGGGCTGAGTGAAAATCACTCGCCTCATAATTCTCCTTTAAGATGATTGCCGTTTGGCAGCTATAGGAAAACTACACTGACCGCTTTATTTACTAAGCTGCTCAGTATGCAGAAAGCAAAGCACAGCACAGAGAAGTTCCCACACCTAGTTAGGGGTTATTTTCAATGAGGGGCTTCTGGCAGTGAGACCACATTTACTACCCTAACATTATAAAAAATGGTGGTGACCAGGGGCAGGAATACTTGTGAAACAGAAGAATTACAAAACATGTTCTGTTTTCATTGCAAACAGAACTGAAATACATATTCCCTAACGTAAAGGTACTAAAATAAACAAGGAGAGAGCATACAGCCGAACCTCCGAGTTGTATCTGCATGTCAAATGTCTAAAAATAAATTTCCATAATTATGGACTTGACAGTTACATTTATGTAAAATCTGCATACATTCCACGGAGTTATTCTACTCTGCCATGTAAATGAGAGGAATTCATTATTTCTATTCTCTGACAATAGAAACAATGCTCTTTTCCCCTATATCAGTGGCACAGCATGCTGTAGCCACTGCGACAATGCCAAACCTCTCATACCCTAAGGAATGTAGATGCCCATGGCAGTGGAGAGGTTAAGTATGAATAAAATGTTGCAAGACACCTCGTTTATGTCTGTTTAAAAAAGCAGTGGTTAAAAAAAAAATTAAAAAAGCACAATGGCCATACATCTGATGACAGCACATATATAAAGCACAATAATAATAATAAATGAAAGTGGTAAAATAAAATAAAAAAACTGAGAGGAAAGCCCAGTAACATGACCGGTCAGTCACATAAATGGCTCTCCTCCAATCACGGAGTTCTCTCTGCAGCATTCAGCAGAGAAAACTCCATAAGATACTGCAAGCTGAATACCACACTAGTAGTACTGCAAAGTATAATAGAGAGCGCATAGAAATAAAGCAATGAGCCCCTAAATATCAGTTAGCAACTTATATATTTGAGATCAAGGTTGCAAGACCAAGTGCTTTCATAAACAAGGGCCATTGTGTTTCCTTTACAATGCACAGCAACTAGTTTTAAAAATGGAGTTTTTAAATATGTAAGTTTTCTGTATTTTCAGTTATCTATAGACTAGATTATTGTAGTTATTGCTTAGATTCCGTGCTTGTTATCTCATGCGCTTGTCTTATTGTCTTATTAACCTATTCCCGAACAGTATCAGCAGCTATATTAGTTTAGATCTGATTAGTGCAAAAATCAGACTGTATTATACTGTATACTGAATATTGTAAACATCCCTTCTCAACTAAACACTCCATGTAGGGGTCAGGAAAAACGAAACCTATGAAAGCACTAAATGCGATGCTGAATGCTGCCACTAGAGGGCAAGCATGTATTTGGCCTTTGCTAGAATTCATTTGTGTGGAGTTTATCTTTTCCCAGAATGTGAAAACGCTTCACAAATATTCTAATGAACACATCCATACTCGCCTTTATAAAAGAGAGAAGGGAAGGAGACAGGAGGTGGGATAAACAGCAATATATACACTGAGTGGCCAGATTATTATGACCACCTGACGTTTGTAGGCAAATTAGCTATAATTTTGCGCTGAAGTTGCTAGAGGGCCAGACCATTATAAATAGGGAAGCAGGCTGTTTACCACAACAGTAGAAATTATTTTTTTTCTGAAGATATGGGTAAAAAACGCGATTTAACAGCCTTTGAACGTGGGATGATTGTTGGCGCGAGCCATGGAGCGAGTATCAGCAAAACAGCAGAATTTGTTAAATGTTCAAGAGCAGCTGTTGTTGAAGTGTTTAAAGACTGGACTGTCAGCCGAAAATCTGGGTCTGAACGTGCGAATTGTGGCCATCAGCGACTAGTCAATGTTAGGGTAGAACGGAGAGTGGCAAGACTGGTACAAGACAACAGAAGGGCAACAGTGCAGTGTCAGATTCCTCGCATCACCTTTCAACATCTCGTAGAGTCACGAGGCGGCCCAACGAAGTCATCTCGTGGAGTCATCTCGTGGCCCAACGAAGTACTGATGGGGTGGTCATAATAATCGGGCCCCTCAGTGTGTATGTATGTATGTATGTATGTATGTATGTATGTATGTATGTATGTATGTATGTATGTATGTATGTATGTATGTATGTATGTATGTATGTACATATATACAGCAAACTACAAGATGCCATGTTTAATGCTAATGTATTATACCCTACCTTCTTTAGCTTCTCCTTCTTCTTCTCATCACTTTCACTGTCAGAATCTCCACTCTTACGGTGCTTCTTCTTTTTCTTTTTCATCTTTTCCTGGTGGATCTGAAGACAAAGACAGAAGTTACTGGAAGGATTCTTCTGCCAGGTATAGTAAAACCTGAAAAACTATATCTACGGACAGTTGTTCAGGACATTGTCCTGACAATCCTAAAATTACAAATCAAGAGCAGATTGGGCATACTCTTCCAGAAAACACAGATTACAATATTGGGATATTTCTACATGTCTGTAACCCAATGTGGAGGGAAGTAGCTGTAATTTCTAGAATTTGCATATGCACAGATTTCATGCAAGCTTTAGCAGCTGATTTCAACATCCCAACTAAAATCGGCTGCTGAAGCTCAACTGATAGGATTTATTTCACACAATTATCATCAAGTAATATTAAGTGTTTTGAGTCCAGTATTTTAGAAATCAGATATCTTGCAGTGCAGAAAGCCCAGGAGACCCAAGAAATCTTCAGCTTGTTCTTTACACTTTGTCGAAAAGCACAATAAAATCACCCTTTAAGCCTCCCAATTAGAACAATTAAATGGACATTCCTGGATTCACTTAATACAGAAAATCACACACAATGACCGGTTTACTCTTACCTCCACTAGGGTCTTTGGTTTAGCCATCTCCTCTGGTTCTTGCAATTCCTCTTCACAAAGATCAACGTTCTAGGAACCAGCAGATAACAGCAGATCAGACATTTCTCCTAAATAATATGCTAGATTTTCCTTTTTTAGCGTTCATTCACACTTGCCTTTTATGGTGCCCATAAAGAAAAAAAAAACCCATCTACCTGCCTTGTTTCCCCCCCCTGTGCACTACAAGACAATACATGTGCTTCTTATTGCATGCGTTGTGGGTCAGACTTATAGTGAATAAATCCATGCTACAATGCACCAATACACACACAAAAGCAGTCTCTCTTCTTTCCAGCACAGAAAAGAACTTCAGATCACCTCAAAAACATAAGCTCCAAAAAACATTTTTAACTAGGTCAAGTGAAAGGTGCCCAAAAAATTATTAGAAACTAAAGTTTAGGGATGCACAGTATAGTATCGGTGCCGATACAGAGTATTTGGCAAGTACTCGCCCAAATGCTCCGATACCTTCCCCAATACCAGAACGGCAGTGCCATAGGAGAACATGGAGCCAGCTGTGTAATGACCCGCCTCCCTAGCCAATTAACACCGAGCCGGCCGAACAGCCAGCTCGATGCTGATTGGCTGGGAAGCCGTCTTTCAAGGCCAATCAACATGGAGCCGGCTTTCCGGCCAATCAACATGGAGCCGGCTTTCCGGCCAATAACTAAGGCAGGAGGCGGGTCATTACTCATATCCCGGCTTCCCGATTGCCTGGGAAGCCGGCTCCATGCTAGCGGGAGTACCGAAAGCAAAGTATCGTTACTTGTACTCAATACCAAAAAAAGGTATCAGTGCATCCCACTAAAATTATTGCTACACTGTGTATTAGGTGTAAAATTGTAAAAATGATAAGTATTGCTGCACTATGTGATCATTTCCACAGAATTTGGCTCTTTAAGGACAATAAAATCTGTAATTAAAATCCATGTCTGATTCAAAGTAGCAGCATATGTTCTAAAGTTGTACACTTGTCCTAAGGTTATGCATTTGGCGCACAGCATGTGCATTCATGGCCAGTACATTTAGTTTCAGCTTCTGAAAATCAGTATGGTCTTGGTGCGAATGTTTTTATTGCCAAACATTTTTGTCTCGTGTGTTATACACCTTCCGCACCCGAAGTCATAGCCACTGACTCACTGTTTACATCAACAAAACCCATTTTTGATGCTTTAAAGCGCCTTGAAACATAAATCAGCAATAAGTTTCCATATTTCTACTCTGACACACACACACACACACACACACACACACCACCAGAGTAAAGAGGAAAGGTAAATATAACAGATTCCTCCAACAATGCATAGGAGCGTTGATCGAGGAACTGTATTCTGATAGCAGACGCTGACCATGTCAGAATACACCCAACAGTGCTGGCAGCTCATTGACTAGCTCTATTTGTGCAAACATTTTCTGACTGGCTGCTTCAAATTAGCTGAATTGAGGGATGGCGGCCGAAAAGGTGCCGACAGCTGCACCCGCTATGCAAATAGATAAAGCGGCCGAAATTCGCACAATGTACGGCTAGCTTAAGTAACATAACAGATCGTTCTGCATTAGTGACCCTGTGATCACACTGCTACTTGTAAACTAAGCACAGTCTATAAAAGAAGAGCATTTTTACTTAGCTTTCCAGTGTCCCATGTCTTCAAACCCAGGCACTTTGCTGCTCACCAGCCGCTGCTGGAATACTAGACTTCCGAGTGTGTGAATAACTTTTCCTCTCACTGCATACTGCATTTCCTCTCGCTGGCTCAGATTGCTTTACAGGACGTATGAGGCAGCAGAGAAACCGGTATTAAACCCACTGAAGTATCTTATTCGTGCAGCAGCCGGTGATCAGCCATAAGTTCAAAGACACGGGTCCCTAAAACAGAAAGTCTAGATCTTCCTTTTTTTTCTTCCACAAGATGGGGTTAGTTTATAAAAGTCACCTTATGGTAACAAAACACATTTCCAGTAGAAAACATCATCAAAAAGGGTTGGTTACTGTTTACCAGATCTTATTAAAGCACTTTACAAGAAATTTCGGAACAATATATAGGACACTCACACTGATGTTTTTCCCAGCTTCGCCGGTGCAATAAGACATCTTAACAAATGAGTGGCAACATTTGTAGCCCCACCATCCGTCTTTCCAGTATGAGCCCCAAATACACTAAAAAAAAAGAAGAAAAAAAAAAGTTTAAATTCACTCCAAATGTACTAGTGCAAACAAAAAATACAGCCCAGACATATAAGCACTATGATGTTAGGGGTACACTGTATATCACATAGAAAACACATTTAATTCACATATAGGCCAGTAATATTGTTATAGGCAGCGCCACCTAGGCAGGTGGTGAGAAACTTAATAAAACGCCTCTTTGTTCAGACATTGCACAATATCTATTCATGTCTTAGCAAAGCTATCAACACCGACTTACGCAAGCCAGCAGGTACAAAATCCAATAGGCACCCAGTGTTACAGTCAATCTGCACAGCAAATTAATAAAAAAGCCTGCCAAGGTTTCATTCAGCTCTCAGAGATCCTAGGACCAGGCTGGAATATGTTTTTACACCCAAGAGGACACTATCTGTGACAAGTTTTTATCAGCCTTGAGGAAACAGGTAACAGAGGGGCAGACAAGAAGTCGTCAGTCACCAGAGGTGCTGATCAGTTTGTCATTTAGGCTGAATTTGCTTTAAAAATAAGTTCAGCAAAAGGTGTTCCTAGTTAAAAATTTCCCAGTCATATAAATGTACCACACAGTTTACAAAGTGCAATATATAATACAGTGCAGAGGGTCCGGAGTATGCAGCATACAGCAACGCACAGAAATTGCAGTGATCCACACACTGTAATTTCCAGTAGCACATATGGAATGCAGTGTTTAGTGTAATGCACAAGATAGTGTGCATGCTGCAACACTTCACAGTGTATACCAAATAAGCATGAATGTGTACACTCCACTGCTATACTATAATAATATTATCACGATTGATAAAGGCCCAGTCTCATTATCACTACTGAATAAAAGACAATACACTGAAAAAGAATAAAGACAAAATACATAATTTTATTGATGTAATGTTAAGTTCTGTTTTGTGTTTTCACCATTTATAGATACATCTGAACATGGTCTGCATTGCCACTGTAATGTCGGATTTTAAAAAACTGCATTTACTTCATTGGAATTTCCAGCAGCATCATATTGTGACCTTCTGTCTGCTTAGTATAGACACTGCCATCACATGGCTCCTGCATCTCAGACAAATGCTGAAACCTTGCTAGTGTGACGTGACACTTACCGTGTGATTATTGATAAGAACATCCTCCTCATACTTGGAACGTACTACTGCTTTCTCCTGTCCCTTTATGACAGTGCCATGTCTGGAGTACTCCACGTAGTCCTCAGTCTGAGCCAAAAGGAGCTCCACAGGTGGAGTATCAAGGTGTTCCTGACCTCCGTACTGTAAAACACAGCATTTAATAAAATGTAAAAAAATTCACTGACGGATCACATTAGAATTGACAACCTCAAATATGCCAATAACTCCTACTAGTAACTAAAACAACTAAGATTTAAACAGTGTGTACATTATCTTTTAGACTGTAAGCCCTCAGGGGCAGGGCCCTCCTTCCCATCTTGTCTTGAATTGTATTGTAATGCCTTCCTTATATTGTAAAGCACTGCGCAAACTGTTGGCGCTATATAAATCCTGTATAATAATATGTAGTACCCACAACAAGTAAATTGCCTTGCCTAACAGTTAAAAATTAAAATGGGGAGTGTAACAAAAATAACGTAAAACTAAATGGTTAATCAGGCGCTTTGAACACACGGAACAGATTTATAAACTGCTATTTTTATGTTATCATACCGTGAAACTTTTAGAAATGAGCGAGCCTAAGATTAGGAGTGGGATAGAGATATATATATATATGTAGCATTGTCAGCCCAAATGGGGTTATTAATTGCACTGCATATGCTGCGGCAAAATAGAGGGAATGGTTGTCATGTGCTTAATGTGCCACAGCAAAGCCGTCATTCACACTGAGCATTTGTAGCATTTTTTTTTTTCTGCTCAAAAAAAAAAAAAACTCCCATTCATTTCTATGGCCATTTTCACATCTAAGGGTCATGTTGCTTGCAGCAAAACGTCCATCGCTTGAGGCAAGTACTGAGCTTCTTTTTGGCAGATTCTGTGCTTTTTAGCCCTATAGACTTCAATGGAAACAATCCAAAACGCAAGTTTGCTGCGTTTCTGCATATTCTTATATGTTACAATCTGTTCATTAAAATGCCCAAATTTATATATGTGCGTTTTATGCAAATATGGAAAAACGCACAAAAACGTGCAGGCTTACTGGTGAAATCAGTAACAGTGGTGGAGTAAGAAAAAACAACAGTATCTGCAATTCAGGATCCACATCCACCATTTGTCACACTGGCTCACCATCCTTATCAGATGCTTCTTCACCAATCACGTCTCTACAAGGGCAGCAATTTAGGTATGCCAGTGGTCATCAGGGCTAATGAAAGCATTGTTCAGCTCATGCACAAGGAGGGCAGAGTGGCAAGCTGTATGGAAGTCTGGCTGGAGTGACTTGCATGCTTTACCACAGCTCGCACTGTCATGTGTTCAGTGTTAACAGGGACACATACCTACGCTAAGGTAGCTCCATCATTGAATCGTGCTTGCTCTACTATGACTGGGACACCGGGCATGGAAGTGCTGTGGCAAACCCCAGAAGCAAAATCCCTACACTGCAGCGATCAAGAAGCTAAGCCCCAGCTTCATTTTTTAATACATAAATAAAGATGTAAGTAATGTATGTGAAAACAAGTACAGAGCTTCTGAAATATATAGTGAAGCCATAAATAATAAGTGATTCACTGATCACAATTCAGCTCTTGCCACAAATCCATCAAAAACTGAAATATCACTTCTTACTGGATTAGCTCTTCAACATGCTTTAAAGTAGATGCAAAGGTAAATGTAAATGCATTAAAAAGATGTAAGATCGTCATGACATGCCAAGCCCAGACGTCTAAAATTGTCCGGCTCTTAAATCATGCATGCAAAATTCTGCTTTTACTGAAGGAAGAGAGATTCTACTTGTGCTTACTCCATCCATGGACAATCACAAACAGGAGCAAAACACTACTGATCTACTAGATCAAGAACAAATTAACCTGATGTACTGGGAGATGAGACAGTCACACACAACTCTTGCAGTGCATCAGATTACTTTGCAGTTATTCCAAAATTCGTCATCAGTCGCAAGAGCAAAACAGTAGTTTGAAATTGGCCCCTTAGACGAAGACCAGGTACAAAACAGCAACGTGTGTGTGTGTGTCTGTCTGTGTGTGTGTCTGTGTGTGTGTCTGTGTGTGTGTCTGTGTGTGTGTCTGTGTGTGTGTCTGTGTGTCTGTGTGTGTGTCTGTGTGTCTGTGTGTGTGTGTGTGTGTCTGTGTGTCTGTGTGTGTGTCTGTGTGTCTGTGTGTGTGTGTGTGTGTCTGTGTGTCTGTGTGTGTGTCTGTGTGT